TTAATGATTTAAACTATTCGACCCAATTACTTTATTGTTCACGATCGAAGCTAAATTGGTTCAAGTTTAGTAAAGCTTTCCCCAGATCGTAACAACGGTCTAGGGAAAATCGGGCACCGGATACAGACCGGAAATGATCTGCAGCTCGGAATTTCCTTGACATAACGATAAGGGCACTCGGCTTTAAAGGATCCCCAAAAATGGTAGCTTCTTTTCTGGAATATACGGAACATTTTATAGGACTTAGATCCTGTATCAGATCCTGAATTGAATTCATCGAAAAGTCTGTCCAATCAAATTAATTTTGTATTTTATAATAATACCAATACAGTAATTTAAAGAACCAAGTCTTTCGAGTCATTTTGATTAACACCCATTTTTCATGTTACACATTAAACGTGATCGTAGTGGTACGACGTACGTACGTACCACGTATTACGAATTAAATGCATAACGACAATAAAATGACACAAATTCCAAAAAAAAAAAAGGGAAACATGGCGGATCATTGTAAACTCGAGGATTATATTAAAGAACAGAAGATTAAAATTTATGATTTTAAAAACATCGAAATTGTTAGGCAAATTAGCGGTGCATATGGAATTGTGCGTAAGTCCGTTTTGTATGAAGAATTCGACGTTGCACTCAAAATTATACAAATTGACGAAGAGGACAAAATTATTGAAGAATATGTTAGAGAAGTAATATATAATTTTGTTTAAATATTCACATTTATTTTTTATTGAGATAAATTAAATTGTTATTGACAATTAAAATACACAGATTTCAATCTTACAACAAGTTAGCAATCACCCGAATATAATTGAGTTCTATGGTATAACTAAAGGTGATTGTTCGCATATGAATACAACACTTTTTAATAATTTAACATAATTTCAGATCTCAGCTTAGTAACCATTATTAATACCTAATTTATTTTAATTTAAAATCAGATCCGAAAACCAAAGATTTTCACATAATTTTAAAATTGGCTACTGATGGAAATTTGCGAGACTATTTGAAAAAAAATTTTTTAAACCTACAATGGACTGATAAATTACGTATTGCTAAAGAAATAACAACCGGCCTTTTATTCTTGCATAAAAATAGTATTATTCATCGTGACCTTGTAAGTACATATAACATACCATTGTAATGATTGCAGATACATTTAACTTACTTTTAATAGAATTCGCCGACAGCCATTTCTCTAACTATCTACTTTGAGCCAACACTAGTTTAAATCTTGCTAACTTGTCGCAAAATGACTGTCAGCGAAATACGTAGTCGTCATCAAAATTGGTTTATACTTGACTAATTATTGAATTTCATATGTAATAGCATTCTAAAAATATTTTAATTGATGAAGGAAAAGCAAAGATCGCAGATTTTGGCCATTCTAAAATGTTGGATGGGTCATTACTTGTTACAAATTCTAAAGTTTACGGACTACCTGCGTATATTGATCCACAATGCTTTAATGAAACAGACACTGATCACACGTATAAGCGCAATGAGAAATCTGACATCTACAGCTTGGGTGTAATCCTTTGGGAAATTTCGAGTGGTCGACCACCATTCGAATCCAAGTGGTTAAGGCTACAATTGGCGATGAAAATACATGATGGATTGAGAGAAACACCTGTAGAAAACACACCTGAAGATTATATTATGCTTTACGAACGTTGTTGGGATATTGATCCTGCAGAACGTCCAGATGCAAAATCGGTTTTAGAATGTTTAAGAAATATTGAACCTTCTCCTGAACGTCAATTTTACTCTTCTCCAGAGCCTCAGAATAAAGATCCTGTCGAGTGTCCAAAAACAATATTAATGATAGAATGTCCAGAAAATATTGAACCTCTTCCTAAACGGCAATCTCACTCTTCTTCAGAGCCTCAGAATGAAGATCCTGTAGAGAATCCAGAAACAATGTCGATTATAGAGTGTCAAGAAAATATTGAACCTCTTCCTAAACGGCAATCTCACTCTTCTTCAGAACCTCAGAATGAAGATCCTGTAGAGAATCCAGAAACAATGTCGATTATAGAGTGCCAAGAAAATATTGAACAGCACTCTCACTCAGAAACATCTTCCCCCGAATATTCACCTCATCCTCCTTTAGAACCTCAGTTTATCAATTTCCTGAAACAATCAACGTTAGTTACCATTGAGCATGCATTTGAAATTGCATCTCAAATTAGCCAACCACAATGTTATGATAGAATTTCAACAAAATTTAAATTACTTCTCAAAAATGCGGGAAAATTTGATAGTGATGTTTTTTTTGATAAATGCAGAAACATAGAGAAAACCATAATCATTTTAAAAGTTGAAGGAACGGATGAAATACTAGGTGGATATAATCCTCTTATGTGGAGGAAACCAAGAAAACCATTATTTTTAAGTAAGAATAAATATTCTGAAACAGATGCAAGCTTTATTTTTTCTTTAAAAACAGAAAATTCGAACCAATCTATATTCAGCCAGGTCAAAAATGCATGCAATGCAATCTATCTTCAAGATGGACCATCTTTTGGAATGATAGACCTTAAATTGTCCCTGAATGATAAAAAAGGGACGACATGGATATGCTGTAAGGCTGATTATGAAAAGCAGATTCGACTTGAATCTAGTAATTTTCAAGTACGAGAATACGAAGTATTCCAATATTTAGAAACTATAGACAATTGAGAATTACATAAACCCAAGCCTATTACCACTAGAAATCATATTTATCAATTTCACTGAAAATTGGAGCTAGATAGATGTGCGCTTAGTAATTGAATACATTGTCAAGTGTGCATTTAGAGATTGAATATTTATTTGGAGCAACATGAATTATATATTTTGCAAATTTTTTGAATTTCAACAACTACGCAACCATAAGCCTTAGCTATTCGCTTCATACCGAAAGGCGTAGTTTAATTTCTAGAGAATATGCCAAAAAATTCTTTTAAAATATTCATATAGACAAAGTACATCAATAATGTTCGAATTCGGGATGGACACTATCAATTAGACTCGAAAGAGTTTAATACTTCTGTTTTATTTTCTTTTACGATCATTTGAGATTAATAATTCTATATTTGAGCTGAAAAGGCCAGAATGAGTTTATAACGCTTTACAAGAAGGGATAAACTTGTGATGTTCGCGATGATGGTGGCAATTACTAAGATTCTAAATTGTCTATCTATCATATGTTTCGATCAGTAATGCTCATATTTGTTCGAAATCTTTAAAATTATCTGAGAGTCTTATTTTCTGTGATTTCACATAATACGATCTACAGAGGTCACATTTTTTCATAATAACTTCCGTTTTAGTTGTACATCATCTTTTCAGAATCATTTTGATAATCTTAAATCAGAGCCGAAATCCAGAATAACTTGAAAATCCTAATTGTTTTTTCATTTTACAAAATTAAAAAATCGAAATATATTCCGAATCATCTGCTTTTTCGGAAATTTTTATTCATAAGGTTTACCCAAATTTTAGTTAACTCGCATATCAACTAAGAAAATTGTTAGTATTAATTTTATTGTTTTAAGACAACACTTTCAAATTAATATTTTGAAAAAAAAAAAAACGATTAACCTGATCGGGAATCGTTCTTGACGAATATTTTGTCACTCAAATTTTCTAAATATCTTCTTTTTTTTTTAACATAAGGTATAGTTTAATGTAATTCTGGTTTTTGTTTCATTATATAGTTAAACTAATTTCAAGACTTTAATTTTAGAAAGTTACGAAATTATTTTTAAACGATTTTTGCAAAAAATGGGATTACAAAATTAAATGTCTTCGATGAATGAATCGCTTTTAAGAGGTGGGAACAGTTGTACGGACAGGAATGTAGGTTATACATTGATTAGCCAATTCAATTTGGTCGAAAATTTCTAATTGATTTTAAATTGTGCTTATCGACGTTGGTGATTTATTTATATATTTCTAGGATATATGTCTTCTTGTTTGTATTTATTTGCAGCAAAGGATTTTTTTCACTTTTTTTGAGTAATGTTCTGAATTAACCGTGCCAATCCGAGAGTTTGGGTGGCCTAAAATCAGAATAGCTCTGATCTGTTCGGAACACTAATTTAAGATTGTGTAATAAATTTCACTAATTACAATAAATAAAATTCAATTTTTCAAAAATTTAAAGAGAAACCACATATTAGAATTAGTTGCGGAAGTTTTTTATCACACGGGAATTCTAAAAATAAATTTCTATCCACAGCGAAGTTGCGGGTTTTGATGATGATAATACATGATTAAAGAACGCTATCATCATCGAATCGATTTAAAACCTCGCAACTTCGCTTTGGATAGAAATCTATTTTTAGAATTCCTGGTTTTCTCTTGGTGTCACCCATATTAATATTTGAAAAAACAAAAAAACTTGAAGTCACGATAGTTTAAAAAACCTTTCATTCGCCTATAGCATATTTAACTAAATCTCATTGGTCAACTCTAACCACATGAGTAATAAAGGTCATCTGTGTTGTGATTGGCTTGCTTAATTTGGGGTTACAGTCAACAGAATGACGTTACCAACTATCAGCCTTGTATTCAACGGAATTAGCTATTAGAAATTTCTTAACTTTTGGTCTAAAAAGAACGTGTATTGTGAATAAATTATTGTCTGCGCATTTTCAGATTTCTTTATATATCACAAAGCTTATGCTTATTTTCGAATATAAAAAAATGTGAGGGTATTTATTTTCGGGGTGTTTATGTTAATAATTATATGTAATACAAATTTTGCCAATTTGTAGCACATTTATTATCGTTATGATTGAAATTACAAAATTTGATACCTTTCCCTTATAGATTCATCATTCCGCCATCATGTTAGATGAAATCAATGAAATTAATAAATTTAGAATCTTTCTTGATGATGTGTTCGACAAGCCGATTCATGAACTGAATTTTACCCTATCTGAAGACGAAGCGGATCCTACTATTGAAGAATTATATTCAGAAATTGTCAAAACATGTAATGAGGGTAGAAATATTCCCGACACAATTAACAAGATTCTCTCTAAGTATAAGAAATCATCTCAAGATGTTTTGGATTGTTTATCATCACATCAAGACAAACCAGAATACATTTGTGTTCTAGCATTGTTTCATTATTATAATGTTGGAGTAAAAAATGTTGAAGATATGTATCAATTATTTCAAAGTGCGTCTTCAAATGAAAATGTTATTGCAACATTTTTTGTCGGGAAATGTTTTGATGAAGGCCTGAGCGTTAGGAGAAACAAATCTAAAGCAATTGAATTGTATAAGAAAGCTGAAGAAACCGGTAACTGTGCCGCAGCAGGATATGCACTCGGATCTTATTATTATAAGCAAAGCAAATATAACCAGGCATTTGGATACCTGGAAAGGTCAGCAAGAGGAAATAACATGATGGCATTGAATCTTTTGGCATTATGCTATCAAAAATCTTTTGGAACAAGCATTAATAAGGTTGAGGCGTTTAAATCATTTCTCCAAGCAGCTAAAATGGGTTTACCAGAATCACAATATAGGCTTGGAAAATGCTATGAGTTTGCTGAAGGAGCAAAAAGAGATTTGGAACAAGCATTACATTGGTATCAAAAAGCTATGGATAATGAATATCAATGTTATAATGACTTAGAGCGAGTAAAGATTGCAAAAAATCAAGAATTAGAGTTAAATAGATGAATTGCTATTTTACAACAATTTTTTTTAAAACATTTATACCATATTATAATTCTAAATTTATAATATTAATCAAATAATATAACCTTAAGGATGAGGAGGTAAGTTTGGTTTGGTCTGGTTTAATATAAATTCTAATTTATGCAGATAATGCATCAATCAAATTTGAATTAAACCAAATCGAACCAAACCAAACCTCCCCATCCCTATATAACCTAGTGGAGGCCAAGTAGCCCACTCAAGTAGAGTTTTGGGCCAAGGATAAACTAGTCGCTTATAGGTCCCTGTAATAATTCATGTAATTCATTCTAAACAATGTAACGCATAATTATTCAATACAGGCCTTACTCTTAATATATATATATATATATATATTTATGTAGTTTTTATCTTAAGATGCTGTCTTACTGTAATCTTTTATTAAATTCACAAGCACTATAAAGTTAATTTGCAGAAATTTATATTGCCAATTTGTAGAGTTGAGTCTTTTTTTAAGTCATTCAAATCATCATCAATAAATCAGAATATCCAATTCATATCTGATGTTTTCATGTTTTCTAATTATACCGTAGAGCGTTGAATTCAGTACTCCATAGAATAAGTACGACCATGGTATATTTGAATGCTGCAAAGCAAAACCTTCACTTTGCTGATAAATTCTATAATAAATCATATCAGATGATTTTAATAAGGAAACCAGTCTCCCAGGTTAATGTGCGTCAATTATATATAATTTATATGTCTAATAAGGTGGGTCACTGAAGAGATTGGATTTTCTTATCAAAATCACCCGATATGTTCTATTTACAGCTGTTTTCAAAGAAGTGATTCCAATATACCTATGTGGGAAATTGAAGATACAGGAAATTATAATTGGCTGGAGCTGAAGGAAGCGAATTAAATACCTTTCCGGTTCCCAGTTAAACTGATCCAAATTTTAGATTGCGTATCCGGACAATGAACCTAAATTAGGCTCAATGTTTGGATGCCGAAATCTTGGTTTAAAATAAAATAGCTAATTCTAACTGTATATTAAATGACTTTTAATAAATGACTTTTAATAAATGATAGTTCATTATTAAAAAATAAGAATTACTCTGCATAAATGAGTACCCGTAGTCTGACGTGGTCCCGTGACTAACAACGATACTATGAAAAAAATAAATAAAATAAGGGGGAAAAGAGAATCTTAAAGCAATAATAATCATTATATTTATATTGACATACAAATTGAATGTAAATAAAAAATTATTTGATTACGAATAATGGTATTGATTAATTCTTTGTAATCTATATTAATTACTCTTTGTAACCAATTTTAACCATAGAGACACCCATTTAACGAAATAAATAAAAAAATTCTAGTACTTATTTCGAAATGCGTCACTTATTTGTTAATTTCGAAACCCTATTAAGGGGTTTCAAAGTTAACGTGCGGGAATCTAATTCTGACAGAAATAGATAAAGTACTTGATTTTTATTTGGAATGAGCGATGGATTAACTTTATTCATTTTCCGATAAATTTGAAATAATTTTTGTCGTTAAAAAGTTTATTTAAACACTCCCATTTCATTTTCCGATTTTAAAATTTTGAAATGCTTCCATTTATTTTAAAATGCGCGCTACTTTTCTTAACTTTAAACCCCCTATTATCTATTTCTATTCAAATTAGATTCCCGCACGTTAATTCTGAAATCCCTATTACAGGTTTTTGTTTTGCGACACTCATTTTAATATCATTATCCTACTGAAATTATGCTTGACAAAACTAGTATTGTTCAGCCAAAAGAAGTATTGTTCAATCAAAAGAAGTATTGTTCAATCAAAAGAAGTTATGCCAAAGAACAATTCAACATACCTTTTGACCTTTACCCCTCTTAACATAATGTTCTCTGGGTATAAATCAACATCACCTCAAAGATCAGTTACACATGTTTAAACCCAACATTATAATTTCGTTTGTTTTTATATGATAATACATTTGCGATTTTACTTTATTCTATAGTACTTATAGTCGTATATATTTTAATTATTATTTTACTTGAACAATATTATCGTAAGGTGCTGACTGATGTATCCAGTTAATTGCAAAGGCTAGAGACATACCCATGTATATTTTTCGCTCAACGCTTTCAGTATTCAATGTTTTACACCAGCTAGATATTCTTCAAAGTGTAGAGATCCTATTCTTCGAGATAACACCCCTACAATAAATTAACTGAATTTGTGACACAGTATAATAAAGCATAAATTAGTACATAATTTTATTACTAATGTAAGGGTAAAACATGTGTTCAAGCAAAGGTGCTCTATTAAAGGCGTGGATACGATTCGGGTATGTTTTTAATTTATTATTTATTCTTGGGTTTTTGCTTAACAACAACTCTTTACAACTACTACAATTACTGCGACTTATTTGTGTATGGGCATTCGTTCTTTCTAACTACTATTAGGGGCTACGAAAGATAAGTTTTTTCTATTACATTAGTTTTACTTTTATACATTTTTAACCTTAATAATTACTATATTTTAGGATACTACTGTATCGGTTTTCTTTCACCCTTTTCGTTCCAGCGCTGCGTATTATTGTGTAGGTTTCTCATCCATTTGTCTATTTTTAGATATTGGCACACATTACAATACTTTTCCTCCTTTCTTCCCAACACAAACCGCCATTTTGGAACATGGGCGTCGTGAACATGTCGCCTTCCCAACTTAGTCATATACACTTAATTGTTTATCGCACCATCACTGTTACAGGAAATTGTCCGGGACTGTCCGTAACCCTGCAATTTTAACGTTGTGAAAGCTCTGTACTGCACAAATACGCCACAACACTATACTAACGCTAATACCAACTAAACTACTCTAATTAAACCCAAATAATGGTAAGGCTACGATCGAGGCATGGCCCAAGTAACTAGGGTCAATTAGAGCTCTAGGTTACGTCACGGGTCTCTTTATATGGATCGCGTGATTGGTTACTCACATATCGGGGGGGAATTAGTAGAGCAAACACTTGTCAATGTTGAACTCTGAGTTTTTTTTTTTTTTATTGAGAGCGAAATAGCTTCGCCTATATATTTATTTTTACATACAGAAATAATAGAGATAACACAGAAATAACAAAAATAACAGAAATACAGAAAATGTCAATATAATAAAGATATCAGAAATACTAAAGACCTTAACTATTAATCTATTATCTCGATATCTCGTTTCAGAATTTTCGGGATTCCGGGGATTTCTAGAATTTTCGGAATTTGCGGAATTCGTACTACATTGGGAACCGCGGTAATTTCGGAGGTAATTTACCGATTCACACCGTGCACAACATTCCCTTACAGTACTATAGGTGTCACCTTAATAAATAAACAATTGACTTAAAGTGGTGTCGTCTATACTATATTTTAACCTATCTTGGATCGGATTTCACTAGGGCTTTGCCGTTTCGCCAGGATTTCGACGTTTCAGCAAGGTTACGTTTTTCGCTATTTTGAAAATAGTTTCTCCTAACAACTATAGTTCCAACCATCGTCCTGTCCCCGTTACGTTCGTAAAGAGGTACTTTAGGTGTGACAATGCCGTAATGCGTAACTTATCATTGCATGATTCGTATAACGATAACGATAAAGGCAACTGTAGAACCGTCAAGGAAATGATTAGCGGAAAAGTGTCAAGGAAAGATTATCGGAAAAGTGATACAAAAAAAAAAAAAAAAGACAATTTAAAAATATATCGGTACGTATTTGCAAATTTCCGTTTTCAAACTTCAGTTAATAATGTCAACCCCTTTGATAAAATTATCTGATGAAACTAATTCCCTGATAGAATTTCCTGAAACAACCAATTCTTCGACTGAATTATCCAAAAAATCCTTAATAGATTGGCTTGAAGACGCTATTTCTGCTAGATATATAAATTTTTTTGACTACGATAAATTTGTTAATCACCAAATAATTGGTAGTGGTGGGTTTGGAGTTGTGTATAAATGTTTGTGGAAGGATTGCAAATTGACAGTTGCTCTTAAAAGTCTAAAAAGTGAAGACGCGTGGTTAGAAGATGAGAATAATCAGGATTTTATTAAAGAGGTATTATTTAGATAATCCCCTGATCACTATATCAAGATCATGGGAGGATTAATTATAATACCCTGACCGTATGTGAATAAGCGGAAACTCGTTTCCGCTAATTCTCAACGGATCAGGATATTATTATTACTAATTTGAGATATAGAGCTATGATTTCTTTAATTATAAGTTTACTACTGTATTCTATAGCTTCGGTTTTTGCAACAAATTAGCTTTCATCCGAATATCATTCAATTTTATGGTGTAATTAAAGGTAGGTATCTCATTGTTAAATACATTTTTTAAAAAATTTTATTTTGACCATTATATTTTACTAATAGATCAAAAAGATAATTATAAAATGGTTTTACAATACGCTGCCGACAGTGATTTACGAAAATATTTAGAAGCCAAATTTTCTAAACTTCAATGGACTGATAAACTACGTATTGCTGAAGAAATAACATTAGGGCTCTTGTTTTTGCACGCTAATAATATAATTCATCTCGACCTTGTAAGCAAATTCATATATATTTAATAGTTCTATAACAACTTTATATATGTTTTCATAACTTTTATGATTCTATATAGCATTCTAAAAATATTTTAGTTCATGAAGGAAAAATGATGATTTCCGACTTTGGCCTGTCTAAACGTTTAGATGAGGCTTCAGCGACTTCAAGATCCAAAGATCGAGGAGTAGTTGCGTATCTTGATCCTCAATGCTTTATTTCTCAAACATATTATAAGCGTACCAAAAAATCTGATATTTATAGTTTGGGTGTGATTCTATGGGAAATTACCAGTGGTAGGCCACCATTTCAATCATTTAAATCACCGGAGGCAATTGCTATTCAAATATATAAAAATGTTAGAGAGAATCATATTGAAAATACTCCAGAAGAGTATGTTAAGCTTTACGAGCTTTGCTG